TCACTCAGGCCATGGATGGAAAGCTGTTTCTCATGTAAGCACAATTCCTTTAATGGATCCATCTTTTTTTATTCTTTGTATCATGTCCTTGGCTTTTTCCTGTGGCTTGGTTGTGTCCCAGTCCCGCCAGCGTGACCGACACGAATCCCACTGGAACTTCTGCTGCTCTTCCTTTTCTCCCTCCCTCCAGCACTTTAACTGCGTGTAAGGATAGCAGGCAGCACTGTTAGTCTTAGTCTTGATTTAGAGAGGAGGAGGTCAGTGTCACCAACTAACCTTCTGTGTCCCAGGATGGACTCCTGGGAGCTCACCTCAAGACCCACCCCTTCCTGTCATTCCCCACTGCTGCTGCTGTCCTGTTCCCTTGGTGGGGTGCAGGTCCTCAGCAGAGTTCCGGTGACAGCTCTCGTTGGAAGTGTTGATTACTACCTGGCAGCCATATGTTCATGTTTCTGGCTTAATAGACCTAAGGACGAGTTACTTTCTTTCATCATTATCCTGAATCCCCAAAAGCTTTGCAATGGCTTCTTCCGTATACTGCAGACATTCTTCAAACCACTGTCCTGAAAAACCTAGAGTCAGTCATGATTCCTCCTCTTGATTTTGCCACACCATGATATTGAACCTTTATAAGTCACTTAACTCTGGACCTGTTTTTTTAGACTCTAAATTTAGACAGTGTATATATACTTCATGCCTAAAAATCATTTAAAAATGGCCTTTTCTTTTCCTCCCCAAATCTGAACAACAGTGTTTTACATAATTCATACATAGTTATTTCACAGGCTGGATATTAATAATAATAAATTTTAGTCTTTATCTGGGTCTGGGGAGAGAACCCCACTATAGACTGAGGAAATTTGAATGCTTGCTTCCCACCCGATTTAGCTGCCCGAAGTCCTTTTAGTGTACCATTTCTTATTGAGCATGCGAGTGTGACTACAAATTTCCCCTGGCGGAAATCACATCATCTCGTCAACCACATAAGAAAATGACAAAACAACTAACTGTGAAAGCTTGCCTGCCAAGCTGTCAGCACTGCCTGCAGGGGTGGGGAGACACACTGTATAAGATGGGATTGAGGCTGGATGGAGCTCAGAAGACAAGCACTGGTGTACCTGTCTTCTCTGAGCTGCAACATACTGGAAGTGTCTGTGCCAACAAGGCTGGGTTCCAGGAAACCCTCTGCTCCTTGAAGCTTCATCCCCAGCCCAGTGGGTGGGGAGTGGGCACAGGGGATGGGGCATGCTGCTTTCTTAGTAATTACCAGATCTCTAACAGCTAACACTGTGTGTGAGGTCTGTTCATCATTCTTCACTAAATCTTCATGGAAACCTGGTGAAGTTTTAAGTATTGCTGTCTTCATATTTTTCAGCAGAGAATACTTGGACTCAGAAAAACACCAGTAGTTAGCCAGTTAGCAGTCAAACCAAACTTCAAACTGGGTCTGTCTTACGCCAGAGCCCAGGGTCTTTCACTTTACCCTGAACTGATTTTAAAGTTCAATGTCAGCAACAACATTGGAACATTGGTGAGAAAAGGAGAAAAGGAAATCCATGCCTTGGGGCTACTGCCCACCCACTCCAAGGTTTCTCTGCTTTGGTAGAAGGAGCACTGGAGTGTGAAAGGGGCCAACATCTGCCCAATTTCAGTTAACTTTGAAAAAGGACTATAAAGTCATCAAAGACAACTGTAAGAGAATGAAATGGGAGAATTGGTTTTACTAAGGAAAAAGGTAGACACCTAATTTAAAAATGGGCAAAAGAGTTGAACAGACACTTCTGAAAATGACTAACCAGCTAGTCAATGAACATGTGAAAAGATTTTCAACATTATTCGTCATCAGAGAAATTCAAATGTGAACCACAGTAGAAATGACTATGTACTCACCAGACTTGCTAAGATGGAAAGGAACACAGTACCAACTATTGATGAGGATCTGGAGCAACCATCTGTCAATCACTTCTGGTAAGAGTGTCAATTTGTAAAATCACTTTGGGAAATGGTTTCAAGGTTTTGAATGCAGCAGAACACATACATACCATATGACCGAGCATTTCTACTTCTAAGAGTATGACCAACAGAAATACATACTTATGTCCATCAAAAGACCTATGGAAAAATGTTTACAGCAGCACAATTCCTTTTTTAAAAAATTTTTATTGAACCAAAATTGATTATACATATTTTGGGGGTTCAATGTTGAGATAAGTTGATCAAATCAATATTACTAGCATCTGTATTGTTACAAATCATACTTATTCTTTATGCCCCTTATCTAATCTCACCCCATCCCCCTACCCTCCCCCTTCCCCCTCTAATTACCCTAGATTTCTTCTCTCCTTCTGAAAGAGTAATGGTTACTCTGTTGATTTGTTGCCTAGATGATCTGTCCAATGCTGAGAGGTGTGATCAGATCCCCCAATATTATCATAGAGCAGATGCTTCTTCTGTCACTCTGGAATGGGCTTTGTGGATAGAGACATCCTTTTCTTTATCTCTGTTGGTGACTCTCCTTGTGTCAATGCACTCCAGTGGTTGGCGGACCATCTGCATGGTGGTTGCGGCGTCTAGCTGCTTTTGTGGCAGCCATGGTCATTGTGGTGGCTGTGGAGGGCCACCCACATGGAGGTGATGTTTTTGGCATGCTCCTTGGTGCTGGTGGTGTGCCTGGTTGTGTGGGGGGGGTCCGGTCCCCTGCTCCATCCCTTGGTCCCCAGTGGGCCCCAAGGACCCTGGCAGTGTGTCTGAGCCAGAACTAATATTTTTGTCCTTTGCTTACTTCTAAAGTGGGGGAACTTCCTATTGGGACCAGTACATGAGCTGTGTGGTTTAGCTAAATTACTGCTTTGCCACTGCTTCCCTAGGGAAGACTTTTTGTGCAGCTCAGGTTATAATGGTTGACTTTTTAGGTACTTCCAGTTCTCTAGAGACCTGGTGCATCTGGGTTGTGTAGAAACTGATCTGGGCCTGAGTCTTTTCATCAAACTGCACCCCATGCAATTCTGTATTCCTGATCAGTCTCCTCTGAGTGGTCCTGCACTGATTGGGATACAGATCAGCTGTCCTTGCTGTGCCCTAGCACTCCCCCAGTGGGCCCATCTCCCCCACTGCCCGTGCTGTGAACACTTCCCATGGGATGGGCCATGCACCAGTCCCTTGCAATGACTCACTGGCCTCTGAGTGGCTCCATTTTTTCAGTTGTTGTGGTTCCTCACTCCTCTGTGGGTCCACAGGAGCCCTGTTAGTGGTTTTACTGGCCTGGGGGCCACCAAAGCCCCTTCTCTCCTGCCGCCTCCAAGCAACTCCATCCGAAGGGCACAGCTGCAGCTTTTGCTGGCTCCTGTTCCGTGTGCTCAGCAGCTCCAGCCTTAAAGTGGCCACAGCACAAAATGGTCAGAGTAGTTTCTTTTCTCTCATCGTGGCTTCTCCCACATTCATGCACTCCATAGGTCTTTCTTCTTCCCCTGAGCTCTAGCAGCCCTAGCTTGGCTGTTGCTTTTTTATATAGTTGTAAATTGGTTGATTTCTGGAAGAGAGTGACCCTGGGGACCATCTATTCTGCCATCTTGACTGAAACTCTCCACAGCAGCACAATTCCTAATAGCCAAAGACTGGAAACTAACAAAGAGCCCAGTAACCAGAGAATGAATGCATAAACTATGGAATGTTCACCTGCTGGAATACTATACTGCAATGAAAATGAGCAATCTGTTGCTATATGTGACAACTTGGATGGGCCTCACAAACATGATGTTGAACAAAAGGAGGTAGACTCAAAAGAGTTCACACTGTATGACACCATGTGCATGAAGTTCAAAACTAGGAAAAGCCACACTGTGCTGTTACAAGTCAGGCTAGTGTTAGCCTTTGTAGGGGGGTGGGAGGGGTGGCTGTTAGGGAGCACGTGTGGTTCCTGGGGGGCTGGCAATGTTGTGTTTCTTGATGTGGGCTCTGGCTACACAGTGTGTTCAGATTTTTAAAACTCATCAAGTTGTTCCGTTATGATATGTGTGCTTTTCTATATGTGTACTATACTTTAATACTATATTTTTATATATACAGGTGCTAGTCCTTAATTTTTGACTCCCACCATGGCAATATAAACATAAATCATCTTAGTGATTTGCATAGGTATAAAATAGGAATTATGTGGCATATTGTACCCTACGTTCTGGGAGAAATATTGCTCATTTTTTTTCTTGATAATACTTCATCTGCTTCAATTTGTCTGGACCCGACAAGGTGAGGAAGGAAGGAAATAGTGAATTCTATCAGCACTAGCAATTATTGTTGCTTAGTATTCATTTGGCCAGAGTAACACTGGCTGGTCAGGTTTTCACCAGATTATAGAGTTCTTTCTTGCCTGGGAGTCTGTAATAAAACTTATTTTGATGATTTTTATACCCCCAAGAAGAAAAGTATAAAGAAAATGACTATGAAATTCCATGACCAGGCTATAATGAATTCTGAACCAATTTATAGGAAACAAGGTGAAAAGATTCAAAGAGAAAGCCTCTGTTCACGTGGGCAGTCTTCATTTGCAATAGTAACTGAAAGAGTAACTTAGCAATAGTCTATGGACTGTTTTACAAAGTGTTCTGGTATTGCATAGGTTAAGTTTTCAGCTTCTCATCTCAGTACAAAAGTAATTGAATTCTAGTGAAGAAGGGGATTGAAAGAACAAATTTGTGTTTCAAGAAACAAAAGTTATAAAACACCATCTGGTACAGAGTCTGATATGTCACAGAAATGTTGCGAATCAAGTCTGTCCTTCCTTAGAGTTTCCATCTCATTTGACCATTGGGGGATCTGACCCAAGGTTGCTGGATCTGTTCAGGGTCACATAGTTGGTGGCAAAGCAAGTCAGGACCCACTGTCTTTAAACTTCCAACCTCTTTCTCTTTTCACCACTTGATAGAGATTCCATAGTAGATGAATAATATCCCTAAGACCATAGGTGTGATATTAATGTGTCTCCTTTAAAATATGTGTTTCAGCTTGCTGCCCTTGAATTCCCCCCCAAAAAACTATTTGGAAACAAGGATGAACGAGTGATTGCTGAGAGGCGGAATCACTTAGAGGTAACAGAATTCAGCTTTTCTTTCTCTATGTGTGTAGAAATTCTAATTGACCAGTAAGAAGGATTCTTACCTGTTCAGCATTATTACTTTTGTCCACAAATGTGAAGGTGCTGCTTCATTAACACAGGAGATGGCAGCAGTAGATAATAAAGTAATGGTATCAGTTTATTTAAAATACAAGTCCTTATCTCCCTCTAGTCTTGCAGAATGTTTTCTTGATTTTTAAGAAGGTACATTTATTTGAAGGGTTAGGAAGCAGCATGTGAGTGAGAACTAAATATTCACCATTGACAGATGGCATGTGATACAGGATGAAGGCACAAAGCTTGCTGCAAAAAACTTGGAATTAATTAACTGAAGATTTATAGTACTGCATCATTGTTGCTTTTTCAAGACAGTTGGAAGCAAAAAGACACATACCTATTTTAGTCATGGTTCGGTTTCATTTGATTTACTTTAACTAAATCTTCCAAGCCAGCTACATGTAGAACTCTAGTTTATTGCAACTGTTGTTTTTCCGACTGCCTTGCTGCTGTGTGCATTGTTGACTGCTTTATCTAGTTCATATTTCTTTTTGGGATGTTATCACTTATTTGGTTGGAGTCTGATGAAAATAAGACTGTCTTTGTGCCAAAGCATGGACCAATATAAATATATATATATATATATATATATATATGTATGTATGTATTTTGGTGGCTGACCAGTATGGGATCTGAACCCATGACCTTGGTGTTATCTATTCCACGCTCTAACCAACTGAGCTAACTGGCCAGCTCCAGCTGTTTTCTTTGAGAACAGCAGGAAGGACTTGTCTAAGCCATTGAGTCAGATGAGGGACAAAAGTACGAATACCTCACTACAGTCTAGTGTCCACAGGCTTCCAGGAGGCCGCTCAAAGTTCCCTTTGCTAGTTCTTTAAGAGGATTAATAATAAAACTTACTGAAAATGAAATCAAATAAGAAAAGGCCTGAGAGAGGCCTCTTATTGTGAAGGGCTACATAAAATTAGGTGTCATTCTTGCTCCTGATGATAGCCAGTTGAAAATGGCTGCCTGTGGGGTCCACTTAATGCCTGTGAGCCAAGGATCAGGAAAATATCTAGAGGTTGGAGATTCCGATCATTCTTGCTCCTGATGATAGCCAGTTGAAAATGGCTGCCTCTGGGGTCCACTTAATGCCTGTGAGCCAAGGATCAGGAAAATATCTAGAGGTTGGAGATTCCGGTAGGAGCAAAACGGGAGAAGTGGGAGACGTGGAGAAATTGAAGACCAGGAGAATGCTGTCCATGGGAAGCATTTTAGAGTTTGGAGACTCTCCATTTAGAACCGCTCTGAGGAAGGACAAGTTTCGGGGTGTGGCCCTGCTTACAGGCACTTGGGTCAGACTGTAGAGTTACCCACTGAAGAGATCCCTGAACTGATAAGACTGAGCTATGTGTGGGTCATTGCAGGCTTCTAAAATTCATCCAATGATGGCATGAACCCTATACTCAGCTGAAGAATTTGCCTTCAAGGAAAAAATTGTGGTGAGCCTGCCTGATCATCAAGTTCTCTCAAAGGTTTAATTGTATCATACAAAAAAATTTTTTTTAAGTAATAATAGAACTAGTGATGTTTTCTTTACCTAACACTTACCTGCCTGTGTACCTCAGTTACCTAGACTCGTCTTTAATGCGAACATGGAGAGTGATGGTTTATAGACTTGTTTTTTATACTAGCGGAAAATAAATCGCTATCCGTAGCTACTCAGGTCTCTGATTAAACTCACATGGTGCCCAGCTGTGCCATAACAGATGGGATGTTTGGTGTGCTGTGCATTTGTGATCACAAAACTCAGTGACCCTTGGGTGGAAGTTCCATTCCAACTTCTAGAGTCAGAGCAAAGTTCAGGGCAGGCTGTGATGCTTGGTACTTCCAGGTGTAACCCATGTTTGTTCTTTCAGCATCTCTGACTTCATCACTTAGCCCTACTAAGCCATCAACTGCTGATGAGTAGTTTAATGTTAATGTCTCTGCCTACATGAGGATCTCTTCCATTGCCTGTGACTGTTTTACCTGTGACATTAGCCTTTAAAGAATGGGTTCCACACTTTGTGGAAATAGGCACTTATATCTGATATTAAATGCATTTTTCCTGATGGTTACTGTTAAATCTTAGAACATTATCTTCTTTTCAAGGAGCAAGTGTGATTTACCTTCACTTTAATTCAAAATTAATCTGAGATTCTTGCCTTAATTTCCTGAGACTATTGTGACTTTTCTTTTGATCTTCTAACACCAGAAGGCACTGCTTGATTTAGTGTATTTTCATGTGAAAATTAACATAGTTATTTTCTCTGAACTTCCTATTCAATTTAATTCAACAAACATTTATTTGGTTCTTAATATATGCTACAGACAGTGCTGGGTTTTATACACAAGGGTATATGAGAATACAAGGATAAATGAGACATTTCTTTCTCTTTAAAAGCATGTTTAAATTCCTATATGAAATTACCTGTAAGTATACTGTAAATACAGAAGCACGTATACAAAGATGGAATTCAGTAGCACACATTTGCACTTGCTTAAAAGGAATTATCTGACATATTATTAAAATCCAGAAATGTAACTTGATAAACTTTCTCACTGTGATAGAGCTGTATAAAACAGTGTTTTAAGCAAACAGTCAATTGTTTTGATCTTCCTTGCTATTAAAATATTTCCAAGTTTTGGACCTTATGTTTGAATTCATCAGCAAAATGTATAAAATAGTTTCACATTAATGACTTGGATACCATTTTGTCATTTTTCAAGTAATAAAAGTTAAATCTGCTAAAATAATTATTTTTAAAAATGATGGATAGAACAGAAATTTTTAACTGTCATGAAATGTTTTGGAGATTAATTTTCTTACTTTGGAGGGAGGAATATTAGTTGTGTGTGGTGGTGGTGGTGACAGGGGTGGGGGCCAGGAATTTTATCCTCAAACATATTGTACCATAAAAGGCAGGAGGAAGAACGTGATGACGGTAAGTGAAGGATAAATTTGCTCTTCAGTGCTAAATCTTATTGATAAACTTGTATAGGCTCCACCCACACAAAGTTATCTGGGCAACTCTAGATTATAGCTGCAGCCAGTTTTGCAGAATTACATCTAATGCTCAAATACTCCCCAGCACTTTTGTTCAAAAGAGCTATCGTATCTTTGAAAGTTTCTCGGGTGGATCTCCATATTGCTGTCTTCCTGGCCCAGCTGGAACCAGTTTGCTGTAACTGCGCGTGTGTGGGCAGACCCCACCACGAGGGACTCAGAGGACTCTGCTGACAATACTCCCCATGTGCTATTGCTGTCTTCCTGGCCCAGCTGGAACCAGTTTGCTGTAACTGCGTGTGTGTGGGCAGACCCCACCACGAGGGACTCAGAGGACTCTGCTGACAATACTCCCCATGTGTGACGTGCTTCCCTGGCTCCAGACATGCCTTTTTATAGCCCTGACAACAGCCCAGCAGACATATGTTGGCAGATGAAGCAGTGGAGGTAATGAGACAAGAATACGCTCAGTCTCTGCCTGCTGAGTTATTTTGAGCAAAAATTATGTTTTTTTTTACCATATTTGAAGCCATATACTATGACTATTAGATTGAACTGTAAGAAACTACCATTGTTGTAGGTCAAAAATGGTGAAATATCAGCGGTTTCATATGCTTCCATGAAATACCTGCTTTCTCCCATTTACTTGGTGTTTACTGAGTGCTAAGTATGAGTGAGCAGTGCTGATAATGGCATGTCACTCACCACTCCCAGGCAGCTTTGAGGTAAGTTCTGTTATTAGCTTCATTTCACAGGAGAGGACATTGTGTCTTTAGGGTAATAAAACAGGTCACATGGCCAGTAAGGGGCAAAGCCTCAGTTTACACTTCAGTGTCTTTTACAACAAGCCCTTCTAATCAGCAAACTCTAAGTTTGAAATGGAGTTGGGTCTTCCTGGAAAGAAATGTCATTTCCTTTGAAGAAACTTCATCCTCCAGCACTATCACCACAGTGTTAAGATCCACTGCCTAATGATTTATTCTTAAATACCATTTAATTCATTCAGCAATTATTGAGCACCT